TACTAATTTAGAGTTCATATTGAACACCACTATGGTAATTATAAACATAATTTTTTCTCAGTATAGTGCGCATACCATGGTTTCCTCTACCTTAGATTACACTGATTGATAAAACTAATGTGAAAGAAAGCATGGCATGAACTACCGTGGCGAATGCTCGGATGACGTCATCCGTCGTGCTTTTTTGTGAGCGATATTTTCGTTAATATTGAACGCGGAAAGTCGGCGTTTGAACGAATTTCATTGATGCTAAAGTATGAACTTGAACCATCAAAACACGAATTTGGAAATTGAGCAAGGGAGGTAAGGATTCGATCGACATGAATCAATTTAAAATGGAAACGTGAATCAATCGACACCGATTAAATCAACAAATCGTTAAAAAAACTGGCGTTGATTTGCCCAACAAATGATTAAAAAACCGGTGTCAATTCGATCGACATGAATCGACAGAGACATTCGTGAAACGATCGACAGCTACGAGAATCAATCGACAAAGCCGTGAATCGATCTACAAAGCCGTGCGTGAATCGATCGACAGATCCTTTAATTGATCGACAAATCCGTAAATCGATCTACACGTCCATGAGTCGATCGAAAACTCCGCGAATCGATCGGCAGATCCGTGAATCGATCTACAAAGCCGTTAATTGTTCGCCAAATTGATTCATTATAATGTTTTAGGGAGTTCATACAAAATTCCAGTTAAAAAAGCTCAGAAATTAAGACTGAAAGTGAAGGAAATTAAACCACACCGATGCTTTTTTTCTAGTGTCCAAAGCACTGTAATCCGACTTTTAACATCCGGCAACACTCGCAGAAATGACCCAGACTCTTGTTTGACGTCACGCTGTTTTTATCAACGCTGTCACACTCCCCCCTGCTCCTCTCCCCGGAGCGCCCCTCCCCCTCCCCTGGACCCCCGTTGGGCCGCCCCGACAAACAGGCCATCTCAACTCGCCTCTCAGATACTCTCCCAGTCTTCTCCCCTCCCCTCTGTTCCTCGGATCCCAACGCCGATAGGACTAGACTGCCATGCTAAGGAAGAACGCCGTATGGACATTCGAGGGTTGCCATATTTCCTTCGATAACATGTTTATTTTTGCGAAACGTCATGAATATTTTTCCTTGAAATTTTCAGGAATTTCAGGTGGAATTGCGAACAAAATTATCTGAAAAATTGGAGGGGAAATATTCGCAAGTTTACCAGCAAATTCGTGTTTTATCAAAGGAAATTTGACAACGCCTGCAGGTTCATACGGTGTTTAGCCTTAGCACGGCAGTAGAAAGGGAGTTCGTTTCCCTCTCCGGTTAAATGACCTCTCTTCTTCAGCGTGTGAGAGGAGAGAAAGCGAGTGTTTTCATCAACAATTCAAGTTTAGCGCGCGGCTGAAGTCGCGCCGACTGTTTTCATACCGTAGGAGGACATTCTAGACTGATTGACGGCGGGACTTCGCGAGGGAAAGCGTCCTTCGTGGAGTCTCGGGGGGCTACCGAGTCGTCCGTTTCATACTTTGTGAGAAGCGAGAGGGTTAGTTTTCCCGGAATTTAGGGATGTTTCTGAGTGTGTGAAGTGAGAATTTTTTTTTGGCATCGGAGCGAGGCCTGAATATATTGTTGAGATCTCATATTTTTGAATTTAAAGAGCATTTGAGGCCTTGTAATGGCGGATGTGAAAAATTACCTTTTCGAAACACGCTTAAAAAACTGTTTTGTTCACACAAAAATTTAATATGTTTGGCTCTGGCATAATGTACAGATCTCGAAGATCACAATTCAAGTATTTTCTGAAAATTTTCTCGATGCCAAAACAGTTTTTCGAATGTGTTATTCGAAAAGGTAATTTTTCACATCCGCCATTGTTACATATACGTCCTCATTTGTGAAAGTCCTCTGGAAAACTCCCGAGTAGTAAGTTTACTACTATGTTTGTGGGACGATACATAATTAACTTTATTTGAGCTACAATTTGTGATAAGTAACTACTATTTCTGGAGAAATTTAAGGTGAATATTCAACCGTGGCTCCGAAAAAATGCACCACGTCGCGCTGCTGAAATCTGGATCCGAAATCAGTGATTATTTAAATATCACACCGGATATATTAAATTCTAAGACTCGTAAGTTCTAGCAGCATATGCCTGGGATGTTCGAAACAAACAAGAGCTTTGAAAGTTTAATAATAGAAGCTAAAACTTAGGAAAAAGAATGTTCTAGCTAGAACTTATAACTCTTCGATTTCTAAAGAAATTCATTCAATTTTCATAATAGCTCAAGAACTCACGTCGAGTTGCACGGATTCTAAAGCCGTGAACCAAAAAATCAAAATACAGCAGTGGCCAGTGGCGCCCCCTGCGTGGGAAAATTTCTCAATACGAACTGCTGAAGATTCACCTTAAAAACAACGTAGAAAGTGCCACTCATTTCCGTTTGCAGATATACACTTCAAAGGATGAGTCAGAAATAGGAGTTCCTCGTTGCAAAGTGTGGTCCATACGGGGTGATAAGAAAGTTCTGTGCAACCCCTTGAACCCCTGGAGTTCTTGCCTCTATTCAGATAGGTTCCTCTAAAATTTTGAGGGTTCTCAAGAATCGTTTTTTGTTTAACATAGCAGGACTCACGAAATTTCAAGTCTCTATCTCAATATGTTCAAAAGTAACAGAGGTGATGCCTGATGCTGGTAGTGCAAGCATTTTGGATCACTCTGTATGCAATGAGAAAAACACGAAGTAATAGCCGGATATGACAATAAAGGGTGCTCTTAAGATGCTGATGTCACTGACTCGAATGTCTTTGCTCGGCGCTTAAAACGTTTGATTCGATCCATCAAAGGATACTGAGATATCTTTAAAAAAGATTCTTATACACCGGAAGCAGTGGTAACGCTTGTTCCATTAATTCTTACAGGCTCGCAAGAAACCCCATAAAAGCTTAATGCACATCCCTGCGAAAAATGTTGAATGCACTTATTCTTTTGGATTCAATGAAAACCTTGCAAATCCTCTTTAGGTTTTCCTTTTTTTGTAACTTTTCAGTATTAAAGTGTAAACGCTCCTACATAAATAATAGCTTTTGAGTTATTGATTTTGAACTCTCGACCTAATATTGAAGAGTCAGAAAAAAATCGAAAATTTTAAAATTGAGTCTCACTTTAAGTTATTGTCCGTATTGGTGGCTATGAAGAGAAAAAGTGCGTATAACCAATTGTGGCGTTTCAAATCTCAGCTCATATATTATGTTTTTAATTTTTATTGTAAAAACTGACTCAACAATGTTCCTTGAAATTTTTTGTGAATTTTCTTCACTTATTCCGAACTATTTTAGAAATTTCTAAAGGTTTATCTTGGTCAGCCTTCCTTTTCAAAAAACAATTCAACCATGGTTGGATATTTTGAAAAGTTACAACGAATGAACGCATTTATCAATTTCAGTCATTGTATTAAATTAAAACAGGGTTTTATATTTTGAAAAGTTACAATGGATCATAGGCGAGTCGTGAATGATCGATTATCGATATTTTCCCACTTGAAGCTATGGTGAAGAATCGATTATTAAAGTTTTCCTTTCAAACAGCCAGTTTATCGATCCTTCTCCATGGGTTTAAACGGCACATCAATCGATATTTGACAAAACACGCCACGCCACTGCAATGTATGAACACATTTATCGATTCGAGCCATTGATATGATTTGGATGTCTCTCCGAGGGATTCTGGCAACAGATGAACGTAGCTCCTTGCGTTATCTCATGTTGCCATGATCATCGCCATCCGACGAACGACACACTTAGTTTTAATGTATTCCCTCTAGCTTTATTCCCGAAGTCGCGGGGATCGGTGGAGTTAGGCGAGGGGTGGGTGGGGTCGGCGGGGTAGTGTTTTCCGCGCGGAGGAGTTGAAAGGGATCCAAGTTTTTCGCTTGAAATGTGGAGCAGTGGCGAGGCGTGCGATCGATTATCGATATTTCCCCATTTGAAGCTATAGAAAGAATCGATTATTGAGGAGTTCGATGCAAAAACCCTGTCTATCGAAACTTTTCCATGAGTTTAAATGGCAGATCAATCGATATATCGCGAGGCACGCCACGCGACTGATGTGGAGTATCACGATCGATTGAGTATGATCTTGCATTCACAAAGAGGGCGCCGCGCTTCGTGTCGGCTCTGCCTCAAATATTCCGTCTAGCGTCTGCTTCCGATGACAGAGACTCAAGGCTGACGCTGCGAAGTTCTTTTTCCAGGTTCATCGAAGAATTTAATTTTATCCGCGCGCATTGTTTCCAGTCGACGAGAAAAGTCGCCAATCTTCAGAATAGCGAGACCAAGTTCTCACAGCCTAATGCAATTTCGTACTTATTGTCCTGATAGGCCATTCATAAAATACGTAACGATGTAACGCTTTAGGGACCGTCCAAGTATTACGTGACGCACTTTTTCCGATTTTTAGATCCCCTCCCCTCAATTTTGGAAAAATCAAAAAATGCCGAGAGATCAGCTTGAAAAAAGATCGAATTTTTGCGTTGTTGAGGTGGAGTTACGCTCCTTAGCCTGGAAAGCAACGAATTTATTTTTGCTTGAATAATGAAGTTATCGATATTCTAGCATTTAAAGCTACGGTAAAGAATCGATTATTAAGATACTTCCTTGCGTACATCCTGTTTATGGATCCTTTTCCATAGGTTTAAAATGCAGATCAATCAATGTACCGCAAACGTGAAACTGCTCGCACAGCTCACAAAAATGGGAAGACAATTTCTCGGGATTGGGTTGGATCACGATCCTACGAGATTTGAACGCCTCAATTGCCATTAAAGCTCTTAATAATCGAGGGAGTACAGCATCAAGTCCAGTTGGGCGGTTTGTACCACATAAGTGCAGAAGTTATGATTTCAAGGCGACATGGAGACATAAATGCAAACACACACAAAAGATCCTCTACAGAGCGTGCTTGAAGGATGGTAACGTATTGAGCCGAGAAAGTTAGCTTGTTGAAGGACACTCACTGTTCTTTTTGTAGAGGAGGATTTCGAATTGGTCGTGGAGTTGGTTCTCGAGCACTTCGTCTATCCTTGCGATCGTCTCCTTGTCCGTCAGCTCGCCGTACATGAAGGTGCACCGACACGATTTTTGCATCACCTGCATAAAAAAAGAAGGATATTAAACTCAGCTCTATCAAGATGTTTTGGATTGCATTTTGCAAAAAGGAACCAAGAGCATTCCAGGGTTGCTACGATTGTGAAACTAAAAAAAAAAAAAAAAAAAAAAAAAAAAAAAAAACGACGGGTGGCTGCTGCCTAACTAGATTTACACGAAACACCGCGATCGGGCTTTTCTGCACGGTTTGCGGTCCATTTAGCTCTCCTGCTAATTACGTCGTAGAGTAAACCCCAAAAACCCTATAATATTTGGGTAGAGTATGCCCAGCTCTACTCGTAATGCCCTCGTTTTTTACATTTAGTTAAATATTAAAAAAGTTATTAAACTTTAACGACAATAAAATTACTGAAATCATGGAAAAAATTTAAATTTGTAAAGGTGATTTTCGCCATGAATTTATAATTACTCGCGAGAACAGATATAACTTGTTTAGATGATCAGTTTATGTTTGCAAGGTAAAAAAAATGCCCAATCTTAGCAACATTGGAATACTCTTGGTTCCTTTTTACAAAATACAATCCTTTTATCGTCTAAATCTCCCGAGTTGACATTTAACATAAACCGAACTGCGCGGAGAAAACTAAGCCGTGTTTTAGAAAATCATGAGCAAGACGAATCCACACGAATCATTTTCATCTTTTTGGAATCCACTCCCTCGCCCAGCCCTCACTCAACCGCTGTCGGATTGACGTCAAATTAGCTGCTCCTACACTGCCGTTCTAAGAAAAAATACCGTATGAACCTTCAGATGTCGTCAAATTTCCTTTAACCTGACACGTTTTCGGGGAAATTTGCAAGTACTTTTCCTCTAATCTCTAATTTTTCGAAGAAGTAGAACGCACAAACGAACTATGACAAAAAATAAAAAATTACAATGTTTACATGGGAGAGTTCGCAGCTTTACCATTTAATAAAAAAAACCTGAGTCATAATTTCAAAATCTAAATAAAGCGGGCTTATCTAGAGACAATTGCCAACCAATAGCCGCAAAAATAATGAAAATCGGCCCGGTAAAACGCTGGAACTAAGCGTTACTAGAGTCCCTCTACTGAGAGTCGAGACAACACCCCCTCATGGAGTCACAAACGGGAATAAAGATTACAGAAATTGAACATTTTTTGTAATCTTTGATCGGCCCATTCTCAAATTCCTTTCTCCGTTCCTTTTCTCATTCCGTTTGTTCCTTGCCGCACCCTCAATTCCCTGGTCCATTCCAGATTATTATCTTTGCAATCGGTGAAAATGTAATCTTTATTCCCGTTTGTGACACTGTGAAGGCCTAAAATACGGAAACCAATCAGAAATGGATTCACATTGTCTTGACTCTCAGTGTAAAGGGACTCTAAGCGTTACCAGATACGCAAATTTAGGAGGCCTCGGAGCTCATATATCGACGGTGAAACTACCAAACCACGTATCTCGTTTGCGGTGTTTAAAAATCTACGCTCACATTTTATTTTTTGGAAGTAGACCAAATCAATATCATTCCTTGAAATTTTCACAGAATTTTTTCCGCGCGAAGAGGAAAAATCACAGAAATTTTCAAGACTGGACGTTGAATAGTTTTTCATTTAAAAAATAAAGTATGACAGGAAGTCTGCGACGTCGCAAACCGAGATACGTGGTTTGGTAGTTTCACCGTCGATATATGAAAGTTACGTTCTTTCGTGGAGCCCTGGGCNGGGGGTCAAGAACCACGAGAATAAGTTGGCAACGACGGACAATCCTTGAGTTTCCAAAGCGAGCTGGAATTCTTTCGGTCAAGTTTCCGACCTCCGGCTCAGTGCCAAATTTCGGCTCCGGATTCCACAACTTGTTTTGCGAAGAGCAGCGCCTGTCTGGCCGCGGCACGTGGGAAAACGAGCTCTTTGTTTCGGGAGAACTTTCAAGAGACGCGTCGACGTCTCGCTCCAGGCCAGGCCATGCATGATTTATGCCCAGCTAGCGGATCCGTGTAAAGGCTTCCATCGCGCATAGGATATGGGATTTATAAATGGACTACATTTTCCAATAGGGAACCACTGTTTCTACAGCTCTTTCATAAAAGAACCTATCCGCATAAGGAAACTAACATCGTATGGGCACTGGGAAAAAAAAAAAAAAAATACTTTGGATATAGAGTCCAGACTCTTGAAAACATTGACAAGAAAAAGGACTCTTTATTCAATCAGATGTAAGCTTAAATCAAAGGGAAATCCGCTCAAATTAAGAGGCTCGGTTCTTGATTTAAGCTTAAATCTGATTGAATCAAGAGTATTTTTTCTTGTCGATGTTTTTAAGAGTCTAGACTCTAGATCCAATGTGTTTTTTTTTTTCCAGTACGTTGTTTTGGAAATGCGTCAGACACAGTGTTCGAAACTCATCTTTGAGTTTTAGGAGCTATGTGGCGCATCAAGCCCAATTTTTGGGCGTCATTGAAGATTTTTTTCGGGGCCAAATTGACTTTCTGCCGATATATTACGGCGCATTTAGTGACAAGTTAGACGCAAGATGTTTTCGTAACAGAACTAGTAAGTAGCTGTAACTTGAGGAAGACACAAGCACTAAGAATGAAATCGTGAAGAATTGAAAAAGGTTTCACTTGTCGTGCTGAAAATTCCGAGTTTTTAAAATTCAAATGGATTTGTTTTTCTTTCTTTATGCGCCTTCCTAGGAAAATCTAGATTTTTAGGGGGAAATTTTTTGGGGCCACGTTGGCGCAGAGCCTTCATTTTTTAGGCGCATTTGCCGCGTTGGCACCTGTGAGTTTCGAACACTGGTCAGAAATAGAAGTTCCTTATAGATAAACGTAGTTCAAAATCCACCCTGGATGGCAAGGTATATACTTAAATTTCATTTTGGATTTCCCAAATATTTTCCTGGTATTTTAAATGCAATGTTTTGATATTTTTCGCGAACCAATTGACAGTGGTTTGATTTTATAGACCGACAAATTTTATTAATTGAATTAAATTTTTCACTTTTGCATAAGCCAGCTGCACGTAGTTGGAAAATACTGGAGGCATTCAGAATTTCCCGATCCTATTTTTGACTGGGAATTGAATGAAATGTCATTTGAAACACTATTTTTGAATCGATGGGACGTCTCTATGAAATATCAAGGGTATTGTTTGAAACAAGGAGATGTTCTGTTGACTCAACGACAATTCTTGGCCGAGTGTAATAAAATTTAATTTCTAATGATCCGGCGAAAACTTTTTCTCCAATGCCAAATACAAAGTTCTTTTTGATGGGCGTAACGAGTCATCCCCGGTCGCTAGCAACCTAAAATCAATGGACACGAGTAAGCGCAGTTAGCAGGGGCAGGATACAACTAGTCTAACTCTATGGATGTCCTGGTTGCATACGCGAAAATTGAAGGCGCTCTTGATTTTCTCTCGCTCGTGGGAGTCTGTGGCGATTTGCGTAGGTTTGAACACTAATATTTGTCCATTTAAATGTATGTAGAACAATTGAGATGTTGCATGTGTGAGGAATTTTCGATTTGACTGCTAATTCTTATGTAAAAGTTCGCGAGAAACACGATGGTGCCACTGGTTTTCCCTGAAATCAACTCCCAAGCTCAACAAAGCTCTCAAGTTGAGGCCAAAATGGAGGGGATATCCCACGCTATCCTAAGAGTCCACCTCTACACGAAGACAAACTCTCCATGCAAAGATAGGGAGCAAATTTAGCAGTGATGCCGTGTACTCAATTTTTGAGTTCCCAAATAAAGTGGCAGCCCAGTCAATGTATTTGCTCCCTATCTTTGCATGGAGAGTTTGTTTTGATGTAGAGGTGGACTCTCAGAATAGCGTGGGATATCCCCTCCATTTTGGCCTCAACTTGAGAGCATTTTTGATCTTGGGAGTTGATTTCAGAGAAAACCAGTGGCACCATCGTGTTACTCCCGAACTTTTACATAAGAATCAATGGTCAAATCGCAAATTCCTCACACATGCACCATCTCCATTGAATCTACTCAAGGTAGCCGGCCTCACTTAGAATTGGACGTATTTCTACCAAACAGAACTATGTGCATTAAGACATGAGCCCTGAGACCCATAAGAATATGTGCACGATAGGGCTCACGTCATAATGCACATGGTTCCGTTTGCCAGAAATGCGTCCAATTGAGATTTTAAATGGATTCAAAGGGGGAAAACAGCGCTGCAAACTTTTGTAGATCATCAGGAGTAGCAGTTATACGCCCGAATTTGAGAAAAATGTGCGGTCAGGCCCTCTAATTTTAGGCAGATTTCATTTGTTTGTAATGCACGATAACACCACGGGCAAAAATGTATTGCTGAATAAACAAATAAATTGCTAGGAAATATGTCCAACATGTTTCAAATGTACATTAAGCGATGATGGAAAACTTAATTAACCACGAGGATGGTTCAGCTGGTATTTTTTTAATTGAAAAATCTACATTGAAACATGCCGGACACGTTTTTCAACTATAAATTTGTTAAATCAGCAATATCATTTTTTCCCGTGAATTTCGACCGTGAATCTCAATGTACGTTCTATCAAAAAATAGGTAGTAATAAATGAACTCTATAATTTATTATTATACAGCATAATATCAAGAGTGACATACCTCCGCTCGGTTGTAGCCAGATATTTTACAAAACGACTCGTTGCAATAAACGATTGGAAAATCCACGATTTGTGCATTGGCCAGTAAGAAGCTACTATCAGCTGAAACAAACAAAAAAAAAACAAGATGTTACACACATATTTCTGCTACATACGTTTATTTATCATGTATGAATTAATTTTGGACGTTTTTGATATGATCAACGTATCCTTTGTGGAATATTGAAAAGAAAACTTGTCCACCTGTGTTTAATTTTTCACCCCGTTTTAAGGTGTCTTATTTTATTTATACCTGTATCAGCCCAGCCTATATCGCTGATGATGAGAAAAAAAATCAGTTTTGACAAATCAACGACACTATCAGGGTCTCTAACGAAGCAGGCTGGCCAAAAATCAGTACCTTTCAATAACTCCATTAAAAAGAATAGGAAAAATTACGAAAATTTGGAATTTGCACTCGAATTGTGACTAAAAGAACGTAACAGCAAAATTTCATCGGAGGCTTGAAGATTAACTGACTGCACAATTGCGATCTTGCAGGCAAATACTACTCTAAGAATCAACTCGCAGGAGATTGCATACTTTCCAAGCTTTACTAAAAAACACGGTAGGTACACTACGGTGGTATGAAAGAAAGAAATCCGGACCTTATTACGGGATTTCCGTACTTCTTAAGTACTTTCGGACCGCCCTTCAAAAATCAGTACTACTTCCGGAAATCCCGGACTAGTAGACACCCGCCTACACTATTTTCGAGTTGTACACTGAAAAAAAATTCTCGGCGTTTTTACCAAGGTCCGTTGGTACCTTTACCATCTCACTTTTCTTACTAATTGTTGGTAATTTTACCAAGACAGACTGGTAAGCTTACCTAAACACCGGTATTTTTACTGTTTTTTTCACGTAAGAATACCACTTTTATTGGTAATCAATTCCCGGTAACTTTGCCATTTTATCTCGGTAATTCTACCACAGTCGATAAAAAATATTGGCGATTTTACCAAGGTCCAGTAAAATTACCGAGAAAGTTCAATAATTTTACCGAGATTTCTCGGTAAAATTACCAATTCCATAAATGGTAATTTTACCAAGAAAAAACTGGGATCAAATAGAACCCTGAATTCTTGGTAATTTTACCCTTTTCTTAGTAAATACACCGAGATTTTTTTTTCAGTGTAAGGTGTGTGAACTGAATCGCTTGCTTTTCATTCCATCGAAAGGAAAGTCACCGTGGCTTATCGCCAGTGGCGTGGCGCGCTTTGCGATATATCGATTGATCTGCCATTTAAACCTATGGAAAAAGATTGATATACAGGGTGTTCGCGACGAACACCTTAATAATCGATTCTTCAGCATACCTTCAAATGGGGAAATATCGATAATCGATTATTCACGCCACGCCACTGCGTATCACCTCGCGCAACCATCCAGTAACTATGCCTTCCTCACGGTTGCCAGCGTGGTGTACACTAAAGTCTCACGTTTCCTCGATGAAAAAAACGTCACGTTGTTTCATAGTCTGACGACAATGGCGACTATTTTGGTGCATAATTAACGGCGCTACCGGACATGGTGCTTTGTGAATGTCCCAAGTGAATGGACTGCCTGGCACGGTCATTAGGGCACGGAGGGTGGCTCCGGTCGAGTCATTCGATTGCCATTTGCGACTACCGGTACATTGGTGACGTCATGACGTCACTGTCAACGAGCCCCTCGAGTCCGGGAGACAACTAGCCATACAAGACAAGTCCCTAAATGTTATTTGTTTCGGAACAGAATTTTTTTAAAACTTTTCTCTACCGGCACGTCGAAATATCAGAACCTGGTACCAACGTTTTCTTATTGGCAGGTAATGGAGATGTTGCATGTGTGAGAAATTTGCGATTTGACCATCGATTATTATATAAAAGTTCGCGAGGAACACGAAAGTGCCACTGGTTTTCCCTGAAATCAACTCCCAAGCTCAAAAAAAGCTCTCAAAGTTGAGGCATAATGGAGGGGATATCCCACGCTATCCTCGTAGTCCAAGTCTACATCAACACAAAATCTCTATGCAAAGATAGGGAGCAAATACATTAGCAAGGTTGCCATTTTTTAGTTTTAGATTCCCCAAGTAAAGTGGCAGCTCTGTCACTGTACTTGCACCCTATCTTTGCATGGAGAGTTTGTCTTGATGTAGACGTGGACTCTCAGGATAGCGTGGGATATCCCCTCCATTTTGCCTCCACTTTGAGAGCTTTTTATGAGCTTCGGAGTTGATTTCAGGGAAAACCAGTGGCACTATCGTGTTTCTCGCGAACTTTTACGTGAGAATCAATAGTCAAATCGCGAATTCCACACACATACAACATCTCCATTATCACGGCTCCCGGCACATTATCGGGGCACACTGCTTCAAAATTGTTAATGTAGGTGAGAAAGAACCAAGGTGTTGAGGTTAAAACTTTTTATTACTGTTGGTGGACTGACCAACGGGCTGACTCGCAATCAGCTGATTCAGCTGTTTACAAGTTCATAGGTGCAACGATCTTATCATATGACGTCCGCTTAGTTATGACAGTATCACATATCTATCGGTGATGTAAAGTATCGTCAAGAACTGCAAAATGTAACTATGTTCACGTTTTAAAAAGTTAAGCGCTCTGATGATGGCGTAAACCGAAAGATATCTAAGTAATAAAAAGTTGTAACCACAACCTTTTTTTAACTTTTCCATTTATGTTACAAAATGGTGTTGTTCAAGTGGAACTCTATTAATCCGAATTTCTGAATTTTGATCTTCAATTATGACAGCAACGAAGCAATTATATGAGTTCAATGACCGTTCATTTGAGGTTGAATTGTGTTCACAAAGAGAAAATGAAAGCCCGCATTAAATGGGGAAAGTGCTCTGCGTGACCGTCTAATCTTCACGCGCTTGTTTTTCAGCCTGTCTGACACTTCTTTTTAAATTCCTTATGGTAAATAACATGAGAAATTGACACCATATATTTTTTTTTCAAATTCAGCTGATTTTTCGGGCATAAACTGTCCGTTACCGACTCCTGAGGATTTAGCGTTTCTCTCTATGTAACACATTCATTTAAATACATTCCACGTTATCCGAAATCCACCGAAGATCTCGATTTTTGAAAAGTCAATTTTTCCCACTTCGGTCTATATTTTAGACTGTTCCGCTGGCATGCGTGAAAGAAAATTGAAATTTACAAAATCAAGGGCTTTCGTGTTTTTCAGAGAGAGCGGAATATATTTTACATAAACAGAAATGACAAATTCTCGAGAAGGCGGTCATGGGCATCCCCTAAAGATCGGCTGAATTTGAAAAAAATACATTGTTTCGATTTTCCATATTATTCTCCATGAGGAATTCAAATGACTTCTGCTATTGAACGCGGGCTTTTATTTTCTCTTCGAGTGAAAATTTTCTTGGAGAGATAATACATTGTTTCGATTTTCCAAATTATTATCCATAAGGAATTTAAATGAATTCTGCTATTGAACGCGGGCTCTTATTTCCTCTTCGAGGGCTTATAAAAATGTTCTTGCAGAGATCATTTCGTCGCTCCTCTAGCGTAAAGACTTATATCGATTTCCACACGAGCCCCGGAAAGCAAATAGTTAAACCGGAAACAGAGGTCACGTGGAAATAGAGATACATCCTTACGTCAGAGAAGCGACGATTTGAGAAAGAACCCCCCGATTGTAAGTCGAAACAAAGATGCAATGATAAGATGCTCGATAAAATTCTCAAAACATGAAGCAAGTTGCTCCTGGACCTGGACCTGGACAAGGGTGCGTTTATTTAGTCAGGCGGAAACATGGGTGACCGGTGGGCGAAGATTTATTCCTGAGGAAATTCGCCAGGAAAAGTTAATCACTGGCCTCAACCCCTGGTCTTAGCTCCAACCCCGAACCCTCAAGGCCGCAGTGCCATCCGTCCACAGTGGATCGATTTGTTAGAGAGGTCGGACATGAAATGTTTCACTGAAACTGAAAATTTTGATGTTTATTTTGTCACTTTTAAACTTTTGAGGGTTGGTCATGGAAGACAATTTCACAAGAAAACCAATGGAACCACTTTTAGAACCTCAAAGCTTTGAAAAAATGGAAATATAAGCGTTTAAAGTTTCCAAATTTTGTCCGACCTCTCCTATAGACTCGATCCACTGTGCGCCCGTCGTGCGTGGTCGCCCTGGTCGCCACACCGCGCCGGTCCATCGACTTGATTTATGTCCGATTGGGTCCAAACAGCAGGGTTGCAACATAACAGTGAAAAAAATCGTGAAATTTCTCGAAAGGTATGAAGAATAAAACCACTCGCAACATAATAAGTCTTCGGACATTTTGTCACAACTCATTCCCGCACGAAGGCACGTAACTCCATTCCGAGGTTGTAAAATTGATTCAAATAATTAATGTTTTACGAGAGTGACCTAGCACGATTTTTGTAGAAAATTTGGGTGATTTTTACATGATATCAGAAGAAAAATCACTCAAATTTTCGGTTAAAAATCCACATAATTCTCCTGGTAAAAATAAAATTTGCGCGGGGAAATTCGGCAACGTTGAATTGTGGTTACGTTCTTATGTTAGGGAAACGACAAACTGAGGTGATCATTTATGTACCTAAGTCGATTACAGTCCTAGAGGCTAGAATTCGGCCTGAAAAAACGTATAAATTCTAGAAAGAAAAAACGATGTGGTTGGTGACAAAGTCATTTTTCACACGATGGAATTTGCGATTTTTGAATTCCATCGAACTGGCAATGCTGGCAACCCTTCACGCAGAAAAAACTACCCCAGGATCCGCTCACCTGATCGGACGCTTTTGTCTTGTCATAAATGGTATACCGGCCCCTGGGGAAGCAACACGCTACCGTCCGGAGTCCGGAGTAGCCAGGAGTAACCAAAGTAGTCCAGGGGATATAATTCTAGTCAAAAATAACCCCGATGGACCTCTCTTTGAAAATTCCCTGGGTCTGTTCTCCTTTCCTTGACATAAAAAAAATATTAGTTTCACACACAAGTAGGACTTCTGGAATTTTCAAAGAAAGTTCTGTTGCAGTTATATTAAACTAGAACTAGTTTTAAACTAGAATGGG